TAGAGCTGATTCCTCGTCGCTGCGTTCGTAGTCCTTACCTAGCAACTTTAAGCGCTGGTGCAACCTCGTCTCCATGGGCTCATCCGAGGACTTCACTCGCACACACAACGTCAGGTCGTACGAGGAATCCGTACAGGTGAGATCCTCTGGAACGCGCATTGGTGGCCACCGGTACACCTGAGGACCACGAGCACACCGACACGAAGAATTGGTCCCATCGAAATCGGGAATGTGATAATCCACCGTTTGACGATCACACGAAACACATGATTCCTGGTAGCTGTCAGTACTTTGTGCTGATTTGTGCCACAACAAGAAAGGGATAAAGACGCATAATGCAGCGCAGATAGTTAAATACGGTTTGATCCTTCTTGCCGAAATCATGGCAATAGCGTTGGATCTAGCTTAGCGCGCACTGACCGCCAGTGCATCGGCCTGCTTAGTGTGACGTACTTGGATCTCTTAACCAATCACAGCCTGCGGCGTTTGTTATTGGGCAAGTAAATTTGAGGGCTTTATGATTGGTCGAGCCAAGTTTCAACGCTGCTGGCTGCCCTCATGAGATAGCGCGCACGCGTCGCCTGACCGTAAACATGCCGTCCTCGGCCTTGTTCGCTTTGAGCCAGGCGGTGATTTTCCCCTCTTGCGTAGTTTTCATCATGTAGGTTCGGTCGATAGGCGTATCTAACGCAGACGTATTTGCGTATTCTAATTTAGCCTAACATATCTGAGGCTGTCTAGTTAGTCTACAAAGTGTCAGGACAATGGCTGTACCGTAAGTCATGTTTAGTAATGGTAATGGTATTTATTCGCCATAACATTGCTACACTGATTCAGGCTGACTTATGGAACACACAAGTTTGGCAAAAAACTAATATCAACCTTAACACACAGTCTTGACCACCACATATGCACGGCCTCGCGCTTTTAAATCACGGTGACTCTGTTAGTGTACACTCTCACACCCACAGGCACGACATAAATGTGACCTTACCTACAGAACTGACAACGTCGTTTTAGTCATCATGGTGGCTCACTGCAATTTTGACATTTAGAAATGATATTTGTTGCTGTCTTCCTGCAAATCAGTTGATTTTTCGCTTCAAAATCTACCCAGTGCCAGTGATTCCATCAAATCGCAAATGTCACGAAGAGCAAAATGCAAATTTCGGATTCGCTGATTACTTATTCCACCGTTCTGCCTCCTACCCGTTGACGCATAGCTAGCTGCCACCCAAGTTCCCAGTTAATGCGCAAATTCGGGCTACGTAAAAGTGCCCGGGGCTTTGCACTAAACAAAGGTGTGTACTTGTCAGCCCCTGCCTCTCCTTCAAGTGCACGGGAACAATTAATGGCTAGTTAGAATGTGGGCGTAAAGTGGATGCCAAAAGCTACAAACCAATCAGATCATTTCAAATGTCCTACTAAAATCAATGACCAGTGTCTAACCAACAGATGTGGATAACAGTAAAATTGAGCAACAAAACATTTCAAAGTCCAAACAAGGGGCGTGAAAACGCAGAATGGCAGTCGAAGACAATGCGTCGGTTTTGGGTGTCGGAAAACAAATTTTGCAAGGATACATTAACAAAGTACTTAAGCCGTGGTCACTGGTAGCACGAACTATGTGGATTGCATTCGTCATTTGTGTTTGTGGACAAACAAACAAATACACTGTGTGACAGTATTATGAGAACAAGCGCCGGTACCTACGCATTTAAGACCAATAAATTAGATTATTAATCGCCGATTCCCAGAGCATCTAGTACAGCAAAGTGCAGAAAATATAAGATTTTACTCACGAAATCAAGACATCTTTGTTAAAACCTTACCAAACCGATTTTGCAAGTAAATGTTCTTTGCAAAGCAGTTTTAGCTTGAGCACATCAATGATACATGTGGTGATATCCGGTGTGACATGAATGACAGCGTCTATTTGGGGTGACTGTGAGGTCACGTTACAAAAACGGCTGCTACACTAGAAGCCTAATACAGGCAAAGTTGTCTCATATCAGCTTCTTTCGGTACCGATTTTTGAATTCTGCAATATAGGACTCAGTTGGTCATGACCGAGTCATTGCTCCATGCCGAAACCTCGTCCACTGCCTGCATCAGGCAGTTTCACCACGCTGCAGTGATTTGCATTTAAGCAGGACACTCCAGTGTCCTCTTCCCCGCGTGTCGGTCAGTGGTTGGCTGTCTTCCCTTCCCGCCAATACACTCTCCTCGAAATCGACTCACTCACTTGTGCCAGTCTAAAATAAACTTACGACTTTTCATCACCTTTCGTGTGCATTGGCGACAGCCACGTCTAGCAGCCGACCTGACCTCGACGTCAACAACCACACCAACCGTTCTTGTGAATCCTGCTACCAACAAATGCACACGACTTTCCTTAACTGGTTACTCTTCATTTGGAGTTAATCTGGCATGTGGTCTGAGTTGGCCCTTGGGCAACAAGGCGGCACTTCCCTTGTTTCGAGGTTACATTGATGTCGAATCGGGTGGTATTAAACAAATGCGCATTGTTGTACAGACAAGTTCACTTCCAAACTTCTGATTTCCGCATTTTTGTAAATTCTCTGTTGCCTGGAAATCCCCGCTATCCGACTGCATCTCGATTGTTCAAGAACGACAGGGTTGTGCTCACACGGAAAGATTCCACAGGTCCATGTGAATCCGCGCAAAGCGTGTGCGCACGGCGGCGAAATTTCACAGTGATTCGAGTGCTTGAGACGGCCACGTTCTCACAGAACTTGGGTGAAACCACCACGAGGGGTCATGGACCCTAAAAGCTGCACTGACACTGTGGTAGAATACTCACCATCAGTCATTTTTGTGAATTCGTGGTCTTAGTTGATCTCAATGTTTAGATACCACGGCACATAATTCTTGTCCTCCGTTTCCAAAATCAAGTGCATTATTCTTCGAAAATCAAGCACCACATGAATGCATTCTTCAGACAATTCTGCCTGTGGATTAGGGCTCGATCCAGTACACAGCAAGTGGCATGTGCTGCACCTCCACGTTTGCTTTCAAGTTAATGATGCTACTAGCAATACTGAGGAATGCATGCTCGACAATGGAACTGGTTGTGTTGCTGTCAATTCGTATAAAGCCTTAGAAGGAA